TTTAATTTTGCGCCGCCTCCGAAAAGGTTGAAATGTATTTAATATAATACCTAACGAGTAAATAGGTTTCATTCATATCTGTTACGTAATTGTATGATTGAATGAAATAGAAATTACTTCATTAGGAAATAGAAATTATTTTATACTTTTTAGTGCATTTCGAAGTCGGTGTATTTTTTTTCTAAAAATTATTTTTGTAGCTTCAAGCCTCTAGTTTTTTACCGTTTATCTCCATATTTCTGTAACCTTTTTTTATGAAACAAATAAAAAATCGCGATAGGAAAATTTGTTTGCTTTTTAAAAGTTTTCACTGGCAATGTTGCTAAATTTCTTAAAAAATTTAGGTTTGGTAAAAGTAAAAAAGTTTTTTGCCATCCACTATCAGCATTAGAATTACATAAAACGTAGAGGAAACTAATGTAGAGGAACAAATTTTTCCACCCAATAAATGGATATATAGGAAAATCAGGAAAACGAGCGGAATAGGTAAAAAAATAACGGATGCCTTGTTTATTCCTGTGACGTGTTGCCACGGTCACAGTCTGCACAAGAATGCCTCCTCGGCAAAACCCTGGCCATGAGGACACCAACGTCACCATGGCCCTTAAAAACTATACATTGTATTCTAGCCTCATAAACTTTCCCTTGCTCTCTGACGAAGCGCACATGGCTTACTCTCGTCCGATGCATCTACCTAAACTCTAAATTTCTAACAGATAAGTCATGGTTACAAACAATAATGACGTCCCTCTAACTTTTTCACACAAATTTCGAAGTTTGATCATTCGGGTCATAGGGAGCAAAGAATTAGACCGATTTAAAACTTTGCACACTTTTTATGGGCGCTATAAACTTAAAAAAATTCCTAGGCTTAATCTTTGTTATGGCTATTTACAAGGATATAGTAATTTTTGTATTTTCAGGAAAAAACGCCATTTTTTGACGTTTCTTTACATCATTATTACACATTAAAGAAAAATATTCAATCAAAAACTGATTTTTCTGTCTTGGAGGGTATACTCTTAGGTTTTCAGAACCGTCCTTACAATTTCTGTCCGATGGTGGGTTCATGAGATAAAGACTATCAAAGAAAAAAGTGTCAATTTAGTTTCAGTAGCTCGTAACTTTGTAACCAATCATCGAAACGAACCCCATCGAAGTGCCCCATCGTCGTCAAATTATAGCGGCAGAAACAAGGAAAAACAGACCTAAGGTGTCATCAACCAAAATAATTTTCCTGCGACTGTAGAAACTTTTAAAACAAAAAAAAATTTTCGAAAATTTTTCCATCGCGATTTTTCATTTGTTTCATAAATAAAAAAAGGTCACAAAAAATATGGAAATAAAGGGTCAAAGCTAGAAGCTTGCAGCTTCAAAATGCCTATTCTAGTTGTTTGCTATGACGATGACTGATGAACTGATAACTTTTAGCGGAGGCAGAGCAGTTTGAATATGACCTAAAAATTTCAGGAATTTTTCTGTTTCCTTAATTCTTTCGAGTAATGTATAATAACTGCAATAATATTTTCATTTCGATTTATCATTTAATTAACGATTATAACTATTTCAATATTTCTGTTTAATTTAATTTTGTAATATTGTGTTGAAATGATTGCAATAGCTATTTAATTTTAATATCCCATTTTATTAATGTTACTGTTATTTTAATACATTTCTTTTCGTTATTTATGATTAAAATAATTTTGCAGAAAGCGCTACATTTTTCATTACCAGATTGGTGCACCGATGAAGTATACAAAAAACTTCAGGATATCGTGAAGCTAGAATACGAGATTCGTTCTTATACACCTCAAATGAAAAGATTGAACGGTGGTATGCTTATAAAAAGGTTTATCAAAAACATTAAGAGTAATGAGCAACGCGATAGACCAAGAAAGATCTACTTATATAGTGGACACGAAGTAAATGTCGCTGGAGTTGCGGCAGCGTTGAATTTTAGCGAGCCTGAAATACCAGCGTATGGATCTGCAATTATAGTTGAAAAATTGCGCGATAAGGCTGGGAAAATATATATTAGGGTAATTAATCACGATTCCACATTAATCTTTGAATGATGGATTGATTGCAGCGATAATTTGCACTTAATTTTAAACTTATTTTCCTTTTCATTTTTTTTTACTTTTAAATACTTTTAGATATTGTTTTTTTCATATATAAAGCTCGTCTAAATTATGACTTTTTTTTATAAAAGATCAGCTCATAATCAGTTTGTAATTTTTGAAATATGCTCCTAAAAAATAAAATATTAAAATTAAAAAATCTTGATGAAAAAGAAAAAAAAAGAAGTAAAACGCTCTGATTTGTATGTAAATTTTTTATTTAAAACTTCGAATATTAAGTTTTAAACATTCGAAGTTTTAAAGGTGATACCGGTAACGCTATAATCGTTACATGTTGCAAAGGTAATTATTGTAACATGAGTACAATTCGTTTCCATTGTTCTATGATTAGTACATAATATTTAAATAACACTAATTCGTTTTGTGTAAAAGGAAATGAAGAGCATAAAGTAAAACAAAAATATTAGTAGCAGTAAAGATCATAGGAGAATATCGATAGCGGGCAAATGAGTAATAGTACTCAGGATATAATGAATCTTTATAGTATGAAATAATAACATTTTCATTCATACGTGCAAATTAATCATGTTTATAACTTAAAATAATGTATTTGCATGAAAGTCATTAAGAATAATAATATTTGTATTATAAATTTTATTATTTACCAGATGCTTCTTTGGACTGGAGTCACAACACAGTTAATTCCTTATAAATTAGCTGGCGGTGGCGAAATTTGCCCAATAGACAAATACTTAAATATTGTAGAGGACATCATTCCGTCGGATGAAGAATCGGATCACAAATGGAATTACATATCGAAAGATGATTGGAAAACATTGTACGAAGAAAAACTAAATTTGAATTAAATATTTCTTTGTATTTTTGTGTTTAAAAATGTAATGCACCATCAGAGAATAACGTATAAACTACTCATGCAATGCATTTTTACTTGAGTTTAAAAACTAGTTCACTTAATAAGTGGAGTTTGTAATCTTTAATAAAATAAATTAGTAATTTATATCTGTAGAAAATGTTAAGATGAATTAATTATTTTATTTTGATGTTTACGAAGAACGTGATATTAAAATATTATTTCACTTATTATGGTATTAATAGTTATTAAATTAATTTATTAAATTGAAAATATATCTGTTATTTGCATGATTTAAAATGTTAATCCATTTCGTGCTTTAAACTGGCGCCGTTACCTAGTAACAAATAACGAAACTGATGAAATACAAGATTTGTTACTTCAGAAAATAAAATGTGTAATTTACGTCGACAGAATGTTTTATTGCTATAACAGAATTCGAATAATGGTATTAGTATATTATGGAATTTTTTGGTTAATATATCTTGAAAACTTCATATGATGCAATTTCGGGGCCAAATTTATAATCAGAACATAAAATCTTCCATCAATAATTTTGCATTGTTATTTATCATATAATTTTTTATCTTGTTGAATTTGTTTCTTTAAATTCGTCGAGAAAAAGATAAATTTATTTCTGTATATTTTATATACATTCGGAAAGTCCTTTGAACTTTCGGAAAATTCTGTTTGAACTGGTATACGAGGTGTGACACAAAAGTAACGAGACTAGGTCTGTAGCTTGAAAAAAGAATGGAATTGGCAGCAATTGTTTTTGTGGCATCATCCCACATACCTCCTCTATCCATGTTGCCAATTTCGATTGAATCGGTCATACCATTTGGAAGTATTGCGTTATTTAGTGAACACGTGCAATTGCATTCTGCCCGAAAAATGTCTAACGTAAAAACCGAACAGCGAATAAACATCAAGTTTCTTGTAAAATTTGTTGAACTCTTTTGTAATATGTGATGAGACATGGATTTTTACCTATAACCCAGAAAGTAAGCGCCAGTCAATGAAGTGGAAGTCTCCAGGATCCCCAAAACCCAAAAAAGCACGCATGTCAAAATCAAAATTCAACATTAATGGAATTGTAATGATTGAGTGGTTTCC